CAACACCGTCCTCCTGTCTCAGACAAGAGGGAGAGGGTGCACAATGGCTGGTGGGCTCTCAAAACTGACATCCCTGCCTGCTGAAAGCATGGGCATGCAGACCTCAAGAAATGGATAAATTCTGAAAGTACAGTGAAAAAACTTGTTCCCACCTGGCCCGAAGTAGGTTTGCAGCTCTTGAGATAAAAGCTCCACTGAATCTCATTGTGATCTGAGGGACCTGGACAAATCAAACAGGTCAGCTGGATTTCCATGGCAGGGAAAGTGCAGGAGCTGTTCATGAGTAAGGAAACTCCATCTGCTGCTCTGCTTGGAGCTTCACCCCCAGCCAGGGCACAACATCTCCTGTCCAAGTGATGGCTGGTGTCTCAGGATGAAGCCCAGGTATCACAGGCTTTGGTCAAACAGCAGAACATGCCACCAAACCAGGGGTACCATGATACACTAGGAAGGTTGTTTGCTTTTTACTTCGTTGCTGCAGATGGACTCTCTTGCCTGGGGTGCCAGCGACAGCAGACGTAGCAGAGCATATTTGCTTAAGATCGCTAGCAAAGGGAATTGCGATTCCACAATGGAGCCAAAGCCTGGTTTCAACCCAAATCAGGGTGAAAAATGAAAAATACACAGCTTTCTTTAAAAGGAAATATTGTGAAGGTATTTGATTTATGTTATATTTTAGCAAAGTCAGAACATTTTCTTCTGACTTTTACATCTGGACTTTTGCATTATGATACCAGCTGGAACATATGTACCTTTAAAACATGGTACATGACAAAAAAGTCAAAATATTTATAGCACAGTCAAAGACTCTTCCACATTGAAACAAGACTGAAATAAAACACTGCGATAATTTCCGGAGCATATTCCGTAAAATACAGTATGTTTCAGTGAAATAGTTGGATAGCCAAAAAAAAAAAAAAAAAAAAGACCATTTTTATAATGTACATCGTAAACAGCATTGTGGCTTGGGACTTCAGCAGAAAGGCAGTTGGAGCCCAGTGCAGTCACGAGGATCTGCCTCCTCTGCTTGGGGAAATTAACTGCTTTTAAAAAAGAATAACTTCCTTAGAGAGGTCTGGTCTAGTTATGCATCGCAGTCCTGCCTGTTCCTAAAGAGGACTTTTATAAGGCAGAGCCTCTTGCTGGAAAATGTCTAAGTTAATTTATTTTCTTTATTTGCAAGATGAGACTGTGCAGATCCCGGCCTCAGGAAAGCCTCCCAGACAATCCTGATGCTTCCAAGCTTATGTGTATGGAGACCTGCCCTCAAAGCTACCCCCAAGGAACAGAATTATATTTATTAAAAAGATTTTGCTGCTACAGTGTGCTTAAGCTAGTAATGCCAACAGAAATCCACAGAGACATACCTCTGTGCAATCCCAGCCCAAAATGCAGCTCGGCCATCCCCAGCTATGACCCACGGGCACCTGGGCTGGAGGTTGCTCGTCTATTCCAGCAAGGATTTAGTCTGCTCCCACAAATACCCCAGCTCCCAGAGTGTCAGTCCTCTTGAAACCAGATGGAAATAAAGCAGAGGAAATGCTCCATACCCTGGGAGTGACTCCAGTGATGGTGCTGGGTTGGAGCCTAACCCTTTCCTATTCTCCTGCCATCTCTCCAGTGCACTCCTGTGCAACTGCCACGATAAAAACATCACTGCGAGTTGCTTTTGCACACAGCAGATTTGCTTCCCTGCATTTCCCAGGCTTGCTTCTTTTATGGGCTGGGTTCAGGGGAAGTTTTTACACACACACACAAAATGTGTAAGTGCTCCCCTCCCCGAGCTGCTTCTCATGTTGGTTCTTGTCCAGGGAGTGCAGCCCCTTTCAAACCACCAGCTCTTTTTACTATGTTTGACTTCATTTTGTAGCCACATGCTCCAGCCGCTCCCCGTGGAGTGATCATGAGGTCATCGCTGGAGAAAAAGTGAAGGGAAAAGCCATCCGTGAGCTGCCTGGCCTCTCAGGAGCTTGTTTGTAAATTGCTGAATGAAGAAAACACACTCAGAGCCAGCTCAGGTTTATTTATTAGTATTTTTTTTTTGGCCTGTGGCTAACTGCCTTGCTCACTGCCAGGCGAGCGGCACCCAGCTCCTCTGTGGTGCATCCGTCGACAGCAGATTGCTAAAGCAAGTCACCAGCCACCAAACACAGGGCTCAAACCCTCCCACATGCAGCAGCGGGTCATTCACGCTTGGAAAACAATGCCTCAGCCACAGACATTCATCATTGATTACAGTGGTTTAGTATTTACAGGCTGGCTGCAGTCTCTTCTTCCAGACACCAGGAAAAACAAGGTGATGGACGTGCAAAGCTTGCCCAAAAAAACCCACCCTGTGATGGCAAATACTGAAGGCAAAGGTCTTCAGACCAAAACACACTGATTTGGCAGCCAGTTTGACTTAAAATAAAACAGTATTTTTTTCTAAACTATCCACTGATTCATTTCCTATGTTAGCATTGCTCAGTTACATGAAAAGCTCAAATAGATTTAATTTATGGGACCCCAAGAGAGGTCAACATCTTTGTGTGCATGAAACAAAATATTCCCACTTGACTAATAAAATCTCAAACCGTGATAAATTTATTAGAATGCCACCATTTTAAATTTAAACTAAAGCCTTAACGCATGTAATTCATCAAGTGTTGGCTTACCCTACAGTCATATTTCTCTATGCTTAAATGTGGTGTAGTAGAAAGGGTTTCCATTAATCTCCATTGACAACCCCAAATAGAGTTTTTCAAGGACTCCAGCACAAAAACAAAATCAGTGGTTTAGGGCACCCCATTCCAGCGCCCCCCACCACCAGATTTTTTTCCTGGCTGCTGCTTTGGGACAACAACCCACCTTTGCTTTCAGCAAACGTGCCTTCAGCCCAAGAAACCAAACTGCAGGCTGCTCATGCCCTTCTTCTCTGGAGGCAAGTCTCACTGTTGTGTTTACTTGAGCTCTTTTATTAAGGTCTTTGAAGGGGCTTTCCCCTTGTACAGAGCAGAACCCAACATTTACAAAGTGCCAATATGTAGGCAAAAGCTGCATTTGGGGTCCTTGGAACAGTTTTCTGAACTTTCAATTTAGCTTTGACTTTTATTTAGCATTATCTTCTGAAATGCAGTAGCTCTTGAAGGAAAAAAAAAATTAATGTCTCCCTTTCCCTGGAAATATCTGGAAACATCAAAAGTCTGACCTCACGAGAATGGTTCTTCTTAATACCTACTCCCATGCTTGGCCCCACCACCATCCTGGTTAGCACCAAAACCAACCTTTGGAAGAAAAGTGCAAGTTGCTTGTGCAAAATGATTACACAGGCAATACTCCCCACCCCGACCTCTTTCTGCCGTGGTGCTGAGCTGAGCACAGCCCTGGGACACATGACAAGACTCTCCACCAAGCACCAAGGTCCCCAGTGTCTGATTCCTGCTGGGATGGGACTGTGCACACGGGATGGGCAGCTCATGGTCATCTCAGCCCCTGCCTCTGTCGCTTTTGACATGGCAGATGTACAAAGCTGTCAGGTTTTGACTTGCTTCAAAAACAGGATTAATATCCTTCTCTAATTACAGAGAGAGCTTCTTATTTCTCTTTATATCTCAGTCTTCAAACACAAAAATCCTCCCACTTGCTTGATGTGATGATTTGGTACCTGCCACCGCTTGGACTTCAGAAATAAAAGGAGTTTTGATATTGAAAAAGGTTGTGCCAAGAACATAAAAAGGACTTCAGCGTCCATAAAGTGGCATTAATTTTTAGGCATAAACATGAAAGCTCTGGCCCCATAAACCACACTACTTTCTTTAGACAAGACCTTGAAAGAGCAAACAGCAAGAGAAGAAAATCAGTTCCTTCCACAGAGTCATTGTTTGTTATGCAGCTCTAGAAGTTGAGAAAAATAGGGAAAAAAAGCACATACACACCTCCCCCTCCCGATGTTCACTTTACCTGGGATCCTGCAAATTAGAATGGCTTAGCAATGGGGATGCCCACAACTCCACTAGCAAAGCACAGGGGCATTCTTGTAAAGGAGAAACAACAATTGCAGCAACAAAAATAAGAGGAAAGAAGGCTGTAAATTGTAATGAGAGACTGAACCAGCTGCCTTAGTTACCCATAAGGGTCTGGAGAACGTCTGCTGGGTGCAGTCCTTGGGCTGTGGGGCCAGAGGAAATGTTGGCAACATCTCTGTTGGCTGCTGCCTCCTGCGAGTGCTCACAGGTAGGTGCTGGATAGGACAGCCATGAAATACCCAAGTGTTGAGTGCTTTGAGCTCAGACTAATGTGTTTTGAGGTTACTCACACCACCCAACACTGTTTTGGATGGCTTTACTGCTATCTTCTGATGTGTGTGGAAGGCAGGGTAGGTGGGCTCAGCGGTCACTGGGAAACAACAGCACAGTCAAGGTGCCATGGGACGAGGTGAGAGAAAAAAACAAATCAAAATCCCAGCTGCTCACTACGGGGAGACTGAAAACAGTTTGTGAAATGTAATAGCTGGAGGGGCATCTTGGAAACCTCTTGTGCCCAACCCAAGGCCATCGAAAGAGCTAGAGATGGCCAAGGGCAAAGCTTCTGCCCAGCCACCCCAGCTGCGTCAGCCCTCTGCTCACTGGTGGCAGTGAGAAGCCAAACCCAGTGTGATTTTTCTTTACTGATACTGAGATGATTCCCAAGCCTGTGAAATTACCTTCCCAGACAATCATTTGCACAGTGGCATCATGTTTTCCTACACAAGGAAACTACTCCTTCCTTCCAAAGCCTTCCCCAAATGGACAGAGCTCCTGCAGCATCCAGAGCGTTCCCTGATATTCACCTTAAATTGACTCCCCAAACTGCAAATTGCATTTATGTGTGGGCTCAGGAAGGGAGAAATGCAGCAGGGGTGGATCCAGCAGATGCTGCAGGGCTGGATGGGATGTGCTGGGGTGGGAGCTGCAGGGCTGCCCTGGGATGCAGGGACTGATACCCAGTGCTTGTCATACAACGGACCAGACAAAGAGAGAGTATTTGTATCAAAACTTTATTTATTAAACAAAAAAAATGCACCATTGGAATAACATTTCTATAAAAAATGAATATGAGACTGTTCTACAGTGCATTACAAAACCCCCTTTCACTCCATGTAGTAGTATACAAGATTGTGTGTAGAAACAGTCATTTATTTTTAAACTGTAAGCAAGTTTCTTTTGTCATAGAACAAGATTTACACTTAAATATTGCAGTCACTATTCTAATTTGGTTAACAATGCTAGAGTCTGACAATTTAAAGAAACTGTTTATAGGCTCAAAATGCCATCTTTAGGCCTTTTGTAACAACAAGATTTTTTTTTTTTTTTTAAACTAAGGCTAGTTAAAGCTGTAGTATAACCCATTTCTATCAGATAAACATATCACTAGTATGCTAAGAATTTCTGAATTACCTTGCAAAGCCCTTTAAGTGGCATTCACCAGTGCCAGGACGTTGAATTAGCAGGCTGGAGCCGGTGCTTCAGGGCAGCCGTGGGGTGTGTGTGACAGGGGCGGTGACCGGTGTCTCCGTGGCACCGTCCCGCTGCCCGACCCTCCCGAATCCTCACGCTCGGGGCGCATAACGCAGGGCCAGAGCCCGGCGCAGGGGGACATGGGCACACTGCAGCTTTAACAGCCTGCTCTAGGTTTCCAGCCAGGTTTCCCTTGTATCATAAATTATCCAAAAGAAAACACTCTAAATAATAAATTAAATATTACTTATAAAAAGTAGACCCTCCCCCCACCCCCCGACCGCCCTATCCCCAACATGACGGCAATTCGCACACGTAGGAATTGCCAGGTATATTTTACAAGAATAAAAACAGCATTGTTCCTTCTCCTACTGATGTTGCTTCCTCGCACTTGGACGTGCATGTATAGCACACAGTGAAGCACGCTGGCTCGGGCCGCCTCGCAACGTGGGGGCTGTATCTTGTGTTCTCCAGCCCAGCCAGACAAGAATGAAGATGCGTTCGATACCTTTTGCGGAGAACGCTAAAAAAAGAGGACATGGAGCCTCCGAGAACCCAGCTCAACACCAGCCAGGACACCGAGCAGCTAGCGGGGACACGGGGAAACAAAGCTGACAGGAAAAACCACCTCTGATCACCCATGAAGCCGTGATTTTTGTAATAAAACCCTTCTTCCACCTAGCTTCCAGGTATCTAGCTCAGAAATGAGGCTGAGGGGTTGCAGATTTGCTGCCTTCTGCTTCCCACTGGCGCTGCCTGCAGAGCGCTTCCCTAACCTACATCTGCTTGGGGATTTAATGAGCGACTTGGCAATGCTGCCAGCTCTCACCCTGCAAATGTTTGTGCCTGGTTCTACCACCGGTATGGCTAAAGGTGGTTCGTGCCTGTTCGCAGCAGCATGTGCGATCACCTGCCTACGGATTTGCAAGATTTGGGATTAAGTGCCAGCTAGGAGGGCGTCCCGGGAAAGGACTTCCAGTGAGCTACAGCAGGAATTACACCATCAGCGCCAAGGGCAGAAGAAAAATTCTGGTGCTTCCCAAGGGCTGGAAGGACCCAGGGATGGACTCACTGTGAACTCACTCACGTCCTTCCATGTGTGAACCAGCCCTGCCATCGTTTTGCCTGGTGTTTTCTGGGTTGCACCGTCTGTTTCGGCAGACGATGTCAGAGCCAGTGAGCATCATGCCCAGAAGCTCTGGAGAAAGGTTTTTAAAAAATCATCTGGTCTTTAAAAACGTCAAGGAGGGAATCAGGCTAGACATGCAGCAGTCCTACCCGAGCCAGTTTTTAAAGGAGCTGGCTCTGGGAAGGCGATGGTGGAAAGATGCTCCTGTAAAAAAAATAAAGGCAAAGCTACTAAGAGACTCAAGGAGTGCTGATGCAAAGAGCAGCCACTTTGCAGCAGAATCCTATTGCAGCATCCCACACACCATGTCCCAAGCCACACAGAAGCCTCATGGCTCAGATTTCCTTCACTACCAGTGCAAATTTGACAGAGCATACTGGGACGTGCATTGGCACTGGCAGTGGGCTGGGTGATGTGGGGGGCGCAAGGATCAACCTTAGAAGCATCTGCAGACCTGTTGGGAAACTCTGGAATGGGCAGTCCTGCTCAGAACTACGTGACTATCTCTGTGCTTCTCCAATTTCCAGCTGCCTGTTGCTGGGAATTACCAGTTCCCAAACGTGAGGGTGCACAGCCAGACCAGTACAGGGGATATGATGGTAATCACTCCCTGAGAAGTGACACCACAAACCTTTCGGCCAAATTCTGGCAGTATCAATGTCCAGCCCCAACTCTTGACATAATCAAGATCATATGAACAGCAAGCAGATGATCCTCCCCCTTCCAAAAATTAGATAAGTTCTCAAAGTGACTGAACCTTTTCCCCAAAAGTGAACATCTAAGCAGCCCACAGACAGAGATGCTGAGCTAGGGATTGCTCAGCCTTTTGAACCATTGATATTGCTTCACTTTTAGGTATTGGAGCAAAAGAAAAAGGGGTGTGTGGGAGGGGGCAGGCAGGGGGATGGGGAATTAAAAAGAAAGAATAGATAATTTTTTGGCTGTTGCGTTTTTTTTTTTTTTTTTCCCCCACCTGTTTATGGCAGCCCTGTTGTTTTGATTAGCTAATGATCTTCCATGGTAACATTGAGCTTCACAAGCCTGTCAAGGATTGACAGATTTCTCATTATATTTCTCTGGGAGTGTCCATGGCTGAGATAGTCATGGGCTATAAATGTTCTGGCAGTTGAGGAATTTGTCAATCCAAAAAAATTGTCAACCAAGCTCACTGCAAATAAATAGAGCACCAGCAAAATATTTCATGCTAAAACATTCAAGTTTTGTAAGTTACGTAGTTCACACATAAGGTAAAATTTTAAAAGAGATGCCAGCTTACTAATTAATTAGGTATTATACTAGAATTGTCCTCAAATTAAGGTCAGGAATGTCTCCAAGGCTACAATGACACCCAAATTTAGTGTCATGTGGCCCAGGGGAGGTGAAGGTTACAGCCCGTTTTTGGCTGTAGGTCTGAAGGAAAATTTAAAACAACCACCCTACCCCCAAAACTCAGGGTTTATAGGTAATAATTTAGTTTTACTGACAAATGCTGAACTTAAATTGAAGCAGAAACTTCTCACTAATTTATCTAGGAAGGGGGTGGGGAGCGGCTGTTGCTTGGGTTGAGCTGGCAAGAGTTGTTCCTGCCCGCGGACTGAGTACTCGGGGACTTGTTTCGGCATGGACCTCAGCCTTGGTCGGCGAGTGGTATTGATCGAAATGGGCTGAGCCCGGAAGCAGATACGCTTCAAAGGGCAGCAAAAAAGCTGGATCAATCTGCAGGCTTTTGGGGGCTCAGCGCCGAAATCGGAGAGAGAGGCGCCTGAACAAAACGAAGCGGCCGCTCAACACCAGAGCGCCTGGATGCTACAACGCTCGTGTCCAAGCCAAACAAAATCCAACTTGAAAAACTCTTTGATTGGGTTCGTCTTTTTTTTTTTTTTTTTTTTTTTTTTTTTTTTTTTTTTCCCAGGCAATTTGGGATTGTTGTACACTTGGGCCTGGATTAGTATTCTGTGATCAAGACGGTGTAGTGCTGCTCTTTAAAGTCCTGAAGGCAGTTTCTGCTCCCAGATATCCTGCAAATCCAGGGTAAGAGATAGTTCACAAATGATAAGTGAGAGACAGATTTGACCTTACGTTCCTATTTCAACATCAATCTCTGCAAATATGGACGGGGAGCTATTCAAAAGCTGCATTAAGTCTTACTTTTTTTTCGAGTTAAAATGGAGGTAATGATTTTATAGGGTCTACCAGCTGAGCCGGGTTTTCATCAAGAAAGATTTGTACATTTTATTTTTAGTAGAGGATTTTGGTTACAAATCTTTCAGAACTGGAAAGCTCAGCCTCCCATGGAAACAAGATTTCTCACTCTTGAGAAATATTTTATTAAAATCTTAGTAAATTGAATAACAAGGCATTTTTAAAGGAGCATTTTCACAAACATGCTAGAGATCCAAATGAAGCATTTGAATTCCTCCTTGACATCTGATTTCCTTTCCAGCATGGGGCCATAGAAAATAATCTGAATTATTACTTCTGTTGCAGTGCCATTTTACTCAAAATATTTTATTCGGAGATTCACATATAATTACCCACCTAATAAAAGGAGCTATTAGGTTGTAAAGATCCTATCCTTTCCATGCTCTTTTAAAATTATGACCCACTCAAGCTTGAAATCAAAGGCAGAGCTGAATGGAATAATTCATCTGAAACTCTCTTATTGGGTTTCGCAGCCTCCTAACTGATAAATATGCAAATTAGTTCCCTTTTGGTGATTCAGCTGCATAAACAGGGATTAACGCTGAATGCAGCTGAAAATTTAGCAGTAAAATGTATGCACACAAAATTTAGTCAATTCAACCAGTTATCGTTGTCAATAAACACTGTAATGTGCAGCGAAAGCACGAGGACAAGGAGAGGGAATCCCTAAAGATGGTGCACCGTGTCCTGCTGCTCTCTGCTCTTTGCTTGCTGTTCTCACGGAGTGCTGCTGATCTCAACCGGGCAATACTATGCTTGCAGAAAAGACCTCCTAATTAATTTATCCATTATTTACCGGCCCCTGCGGTTCCTCCCCTGGGCTCGTGTCCTGCCCAATGGGAAGCGCCCGGTGTCTGCCACCCCTTTGCCCTCCTCATCCTCTGCCCATCGTCACCCCAGGTGGATGGGTCCTCGGAGCCATCCCAGGGGGATGCGGGGTGGGTGCGAAAGGCTTGGGGAAACTTCAGCTCCATTTTTCGATCTGCTCCGGCTCGCGGTGGCCCCAGTAGCACTTCCCAGTGTCATCCCGGGGCGGCCTGGCACAAAGGCCACCCATGCACAGACATCTTTTATTACAAGTTTAAGCACGTAATGACTGCGTGCCAGAGAAGATTGCGTATTATGTCCTCTTTTTGCAAGTGTACACTGGCTGGCTGGCAGCAGGCCAGCAATGCAGACTTTTTCTTTTTTCTTTTTTTTTTACATTCCTGGTTCTCTGTTTGCCATACATAACACTTTAACTGCAGAAGGATTTACAAACGCTTGCTAAAATGGCTGAATATTACAGCAACTTGCTAATCCCCAATACTCGTGTGAGATGAGTGACAAAGACAACAAAAGAAATTAGTAATTTGTCTTTTCATTTTGTGCTGTTGGGAGAAATTCCAAATTTTTGGTGTGGTGGTGTGTTTATTTGCTATGGGTGTTTTTGTAGTCAGCAATTACGTATTTGAAAAAAAAAAAAAAACAAAACCAACCCAAACAAGTGACCTACAACACTGTCTCATTAATGGCATGGTCTATGTTTAAAAACATACTTGTATGAGGTAAGACTAGATCTACACAAAGAGCTACAAACCTCTACGGAGTAAAACATGAGTTAGTCATGACAACTTGAGCTCTACGAAGACTAGTAGATCAAAATGAGCAATCTGGTGGCATCAGCTACGACTCCGTGGTGATGACGTAATTCGCTTTGCCACGCTTTCATCGCTTTAGATGCCCGATCTACAGTTCTGTAACATTTCCATTACTCTTCTTTCCTTTTTCTTCTTTTTATCATTCTTTTAGGATATTGCAGGAATCTTCCCTGCACTGATTGAGTGGTACCGGGAACAAGATGACTTTATGGGGTGGTGTAGGTGGGTGGTATGTGTGAAATCCTGGTATGCTGCAATGCTCTTGGATGATTATCGCTTCATCAAGAGCTGTTAGAAGGCCGAGCCTGTGATAGCGTTGAGTTGCTTCATTAGCCCCTCCAAACTGGCCATCTGTTCACTCAGATCATCCTGCTCATAAACCTGTGAGTGAAAAAACAGACAGAGATAAGCAGGCGGCGGGATGGGAACCAAAACCCCCCGCACAGAGCCTTAGGACGTGGCCCGTGGCAGGGACCTCCAGCGGCCACCCCACCGGGACATCTTCCCCATGTGGTCCTCAGGCACCTGCAGCATTCAAGGATGGGCTGAGGCTCACAAGCTGGATAGCAAAGCTTCTCTGGTCTTAACACAGGAGCTGGAAACCAGGGGTGACCATGCCAAAACAATGCTAAATGTTAACAACCCCTCCATGATCCCCCGTTTCCTCAGCTCCCTCCCTTATATTGTCTGTGTCCATGCTGGAGGGTGGCGGGGAGGGACTATAAAAACACATTTTAGCACCCAACGGAGACACCAAACGCTCATCTAAACATATCCTCTCCTGGGACAGGCTGCAACAGTTTGTCCAGCGATTAGATGAGCTTCTCAGTCCTTGCTGGTGGTTGGGAATTTCTACCATCACCTTTAGTGGGAGCAGAGGACTGGGAAAAGTTTTCAGAAGGACCTGACTGGGCTAGAGGAAAATAATCCTTTGGGGCACGGGCAACTGAGAATCTGCAGCAAAATCTTAAACTACCAGCACTGCACCTATTCTTGGGAACCACTGAATTCAAAAATTACCACAGCAAGAGCAAGAGGAGTGACCCTCTGCTTTCAGACACTGAGAGGGAGCTCAACATTTGTTATTTATGCGCGTTTTACCCAATAAAAGATATGACAGTGCTGTACGAGCCTTGCAGATCCTGAGGTGGGATATGGAGCAGGCACCTAAAGGAGCACCCGCAGAGTCGAGCTTAAAAAATAATAATCCTCAAATTTTAGCCTTTCTCCTCAAATTCTGACCACCTGATGAGCTTGTTGCCTGCGCCATTATTGCCTGTAACTGTCCTCACACCTGTGGAGCTCGAGCAGCGTCTCTCCTGAGAGCTAAATCATGCTGCTGTGATGAAATAAGGTATTGAGAGCTGAAATTGCACTTTGAGCTACCAAATTTCCTGTGTTAAATTACTCCTTATGCCATCAATTTTACCACGGAGGGCATTTTCCTTCCCACTCCCACTCCAGTAGGAGATTCCATATCTCTTACATCATCTTGTGTCCCCTTTTCCCAGCAAAACGTGAGAATCCTTCTGCAACTCTATGCAGAAGTATATTTTCATGCTGTTGACAATGGCAAGCAGGAATCAAACACTGTTGTCCTGCATTAATCAGGCAGAGGACCCAAACCCTCCATACATATGTCTAAAGCAGATCTTTTGTCTTTCACTTTAGCCAGGATGAAAACGTAAAAGGATTCACTAACAACAAAATGTTGGACAAATCACTGCAGTGGTGCCTAGCAAAAAATTCTCCTGTGCAAGTAGATGAAAAGATATACAACATGTATTTATTGTATTTTTTTTTTTTCCTTATTCCTTTCCTTTTGCACTGTTTCGTCTTCTGGATCACGTGAGACATTTCTCTAACAGAGCCTTAATAGGAGTGAAAAGATTATTCTAATTTCACCATCTTTTCAGTTTCACTTATCTACTTCTTCAATGTTATTTTTCTCACCATTATCTGGTATTACTATATACTCATTTTTCCTGCCAAAATTATTTTCTTCCCTTATCACACTTCTCACTCCCTTTCTCTTCTCCCAGTATCTCGGGATGCTCAGGAGGGGCTCTGCGAGTTGTCCCGTGGATAATATTAAAACAGAATTTAAGTACTTGCCTCTCCCCTGTATCACACACGCCAAAGTCCATTAAAGCCAACAGCAAAGTTTTACTGTCTGCCAGAACTTTTTACTAGCTTTCTAATAGCTATCAGCTGCAGCGCAATATCTTAGGTAAGGAGGGACAGATCGTTATCTAAAAATTAATGTGCAAATTGGGGAGTATAGCTCGATGGTGATGGGCCTTGCAGGAAGGTTGGCTCTGAAAGATGGTTCTTACGTTGGCGGAGTCCTCCGTCTGCTTGTGGCCTTCTTCTGCGACCTCGGGGGCCGTGGGCACCGAGACGGGCAGCAGAGGCGACCTGGCTTTTCCTGCCAAGCCAAGGGACGCTGTTTTAACCTGAGCCTTGGGGAGGTTAGGCCCTGGAAGAAGAAACAAAAGTCACGTCGAGAAGTCCTAGGTATGGAAAAGGGGGGATCGCGGTGGTTTGGGGATGATAGGCAAACTGCAGCCGGTTTTACCATTGCTGCTTGGGTTTTCAGCTGTAAACGTACAGTCCCCTTCCTACACAGACACTACTTCTTCCCGGAGGAGCACCAGAGCCAACACAAACACCTTCTAAAAAGTCTTCAATTACATTTCATGGGCTTCACTCCCAGAAGAGGACTCACAGTCACAGCAGGTTTGCAAATTTTCCAGTGACATTACTTTTTGATAAAGGATTCTATTCTGCAGAAACAAAAGTTTTCACATAGAAACTTCAATTTTCCTGGGAAAAATACATACAAACCAGGCACTCCAGGAAGATAATGAAAACCTGGGCTCTGTGGCCACTGCCTGGCAGGGAACTGTCAGTTTGATGTTGTGTTTGAGGGAGAAATTGAGACCAAAGAGCAGCGAGCGGTGGCCAGGCTGGGAGAATGGCAGTTATTTCCACAGTTCTTGCCTGTTTTTGTTCCTAACTCCCTCAAGCCGAGAGCAGCCCTCCAGGTGGGTCTCTGAAGAAGCTAAAATAAAAATTGTATTTCAACATTCTCCAAAAAACCCACAAAAGTTCCTTCTGACTTTTTATCCCAGCTTGGAAGGAGGAGAAAAAAAATAAAATAGATTTATTTTTTTTGGCAGAAAGAGATTCCCCTTTTTAAGCAGCTTTGCTGAGGCTCCTCCTGCCACTGCTCTGAGCTGCTGCTTGGCAAAAGAGGTGCCAGCTGCAGCACTGTGTGAAGTGCTGCCCTTTAAAGATGAGTCAACTGAGATGTCTCAGCTCTCTTCTGGAAGGAATTAAAAATTCTTTGTCTCTTTTAATGATTTAGAACATCAAAGAATAAAACCTTTGTCCTGGACAATCTGCCTCCTCTCAGCACGAGGTGCCTGCCTCTCTGCAAGGCTCGGCTGGAGACACAAGGGCTGTCAGTTGAAACAAGCACACACGACACTGATTTTAAGTACACTGGGATAGTCTTAAAATCAAAGCTGCCATACAAAGCTTAACGGAGATCATATATCTCACGGATCGTAAATTCAAGATCAAAAATGGGAACAGCAATTTCAAGGTTTCTTGCAGCCAGAGTAATCCTGCTTCCCCTGAAGCTATGTCTTAAGCATCCCTATGACCTGTGTAAGGCCAAACTCATTCCAGTGAGTGTCTTGGCACTTCTTTCTGCCACCTAGGTCCCCAAAACTTATTTTTCCCTCTTTCTCTCCATTGACATGAGACCACTTTGACGCCTACTTGTGCCCTAAGACAAGTTTTGTGATTACAAGTTTAAATATGCAAGCTCCAGGATGGTACTTACTTGGCAGGATGCACCACGTACCTGGGACTGTCAGACTCCCCCCAGCCATCCCCCACCAGGTAACAGCAGATCCCCTCTGGCACCGGGGATCACTTTGGAGTCTCACAGGGCACGTTTCTATCTCCCATGGGACTTGGGCACAACTTTTATTCTGCTCATTTGACTCCCGTTGAAATTGAGAAGACAAATCATAAATAAATAGCTTTTTTCTATCTATTTCCTCTACTATGACCTTCAGCAAGTCCTCTGCCTTTTTCCTATTAAGGAGATGTGTACCATCATAATGATAATAGCAACAGCCATCACTTTACTCGCTGACTGCGCTTATTAGGAGTATTAAAAGGCATCAGCCTCAGTAAGTCAAGTAGGCTATTGGCCATTGAATCAGAATTGGACCCAGAAAGAGAAAAATAGACATTGAGACACTCCAGACATAAAATGTGCTTAGAGGAAGGGGTGTCCTGAGGACGAGCTGCGGGACAGGTTTGTATGAGGATGCCTGTGGCTCTGGAGCTGAGAGGCAGGGGCCAGGAGCGTGGGGGATGTCTTCACCCCCACGCTCCCCAAACCCCCCCAAATCAGTGCACACATGACAGCTTTCCCCATCCTTACATCTCCAGTGAGTAGCCAGGAGACAAGAGCTGCAGATTCATTTTCCTGTATTTCAAAAAACTGTGTTTACATTTTTAATTAGTTTAAGGCAGTGAAAACACAATGGAGCAGAAGAGAGAACAAAATCCCTCCCGAAATAGAGCTGCCAACAGCGCGTTCATTAAAAGTAAGTTCCAGGAAAGAGCTGCAAGAGGGGGGCAGAGAGGGAGCGACTCACCAACACCCTCTCTGTAAGGCTGAGAATCTCAGATAACTCCTGTTTAGCTGAAGCTATGAGCGTGTGAAAGCTCAATACAAGCTAAAAGAGATCACCAAAAAGATACCTTCGGTCTTCCAGCTCCAGTTTAATAGCTAAAAGACTTCTTTAATAACTGGGCCTTCAGACTTCCCTGTATCTCAGAGAAAGAGTAGGAGATACAGCTATCCCCAAAGATTCAATCTTCTAAGTGCTGCACATTCAAATCAGGTTTCAAAAAAATGGAAATATTTTTCACTTCCATTTCTTAATTAAAAAAAAAAAAAAAAAAAAAAAAAAAAGCTTATTTCCAAAGAAGTGTGGGGAGGAATATTCACACACTGGCACTCAAAAGATGCACCCAGCACTTGCACACTCAGAAATGCAAGAGCCTGAATCTAAAAAATAAAGTGAAGAAGGCAGCACCACAGGCGAATTAACTCTAAGCTGCCCGGTGCAAAGACTGTAGTCTCTCAATATTTTTGTTCCCCAGTGCATTGAAAACACCTTCAGTGCTTGTCAAAGGAGCAAACTGCAGCTATGGCCCTTGCAGCTGGCAGCTGCGGTGGGATTTCTATTCTGGTAGCACTCGTGTGCCCTGCAAAAGAGAGATTCATCTGATTTCTGTTACAGGGAATCTGGATTGCATCCTGGGATATCACAGTGACATGAAGAATAAAAAATAAGGTACAGCCACTGCAGAAAATTGCATCCATGCTGTTTATTGGTTAGATAATGGACCCAAATAGGCTTTTTTTTTTTTATACAAGTGACTTTGCATAGCGACTTGTTTGATTTTCATGGGCTGGTGAAGAAGTAAATATTTGATGTTGTGGTGAGGAGCTCACATGAAATACAGAGTGTGTTGCTATTGTAATCCTCTAAATCCCATGGTAAAAATCGTGTTTATCATATGTAACTCATTAATTGTAGTAATTGGACTTAAAGACCCACTTTTCTGCACAAAGACAGATGTTCCCTCCTGGATATTGTTAATGAGAAGCCATAATGATGATTAGTAAGTTCAGTTTGTGCATCTTTTTGCCCTTTAGCTCACAAAAGCAACAGGCAAATTGTAATGCTTGCAACTAAAATGAAGCCAAGAAAATTTTCCTTATGCATAGCTGTGTATTTCATGTTCTTCAGCAAAGGTTTTACGGCAGTGACTGTTTTGCAAGGTAATGCCTATAATACATAATTAGTACAACAGTTGAGACCTTTTCCCCCAAAGGACATTAAAAAGACCAAGCAGGCCTTTCAAAGAGAATTCTGGACGCAGAAGGTTGACATGCTAAGTAAACTAATTTATGCAAATGAGTAGCTAATTAAATTAAAATCACTTTGGTTTCTAATGTTCTCCAACTCAGCGGGAGTCCCACAAGCAAAAAAGAAGAAACGTTGGATCTGAGGCCGCAAGAGGCAGAAGATGACAATACTGATCAGGTGTAGTTCTGAGCAGCCCCAGCATGGATTTGCAGGTTAGAAGTTTCATTTTCTCAATAGGGTTATTAAACTCTTCCTTGGCTCATTAGTTAGATAATACATAGCTACCAGGTGCAAATCCCAGCCACTGCCACCTCTCCGAGACCCACCCTGAAGGTGCTGCAGTACTGTCCCTGGTATTTCAGGAGCATTGCACATCAGTATGATCCTGAAGCAAGCCAAAAAGAAGCAGTTTTCTAATTCTGTAAGCATCTGTGCACATCAGGCCATACGCTACCAAGATAGACAACAAGTAAAACCAACATAGCATCCAACCTTTTGATAGCAGCACTTTGGGAGAGCTACTTGGCATTATTTTATTTTGAGATACGTCAAATGGGACATGAGGTGATGTACTCAGCCAGGTGAGAACATCTAATTTCAGTGAGAAGGGCTCAGGGTTTCTGCTGTTGGAGTTGCAGGGTTTCCAAAGGCCAGTCCCTAGCTGCAGTGAGGACAATGAGCTGGGAACTCAGTGTCAAAAAATGCAATGTTCACACTCAGTGGATCTGGGTCTGTATCCAACTTGAAGATAAAAAATTCTTGTGTGGTCCATTTGTCACACGCATTCTGGGTGACGATGCACAACAGTGTCATGGAAAAATGAGAGTTAAAGTGAAGAAAATGGAGATGAATGCAGAAATTGAAAGGAGCTAGTTTATGGAGAGATAGCAAGAAACCATGCTCACTGGAGAATACAGGAGTAGAAGGTGGCTGCCAGTGAAATTCCTCAAGATCTGGATTTAGGACTGATTCTGAATACTTTGATATAGAGCATAGTTGTATGATTATGGAATCTATTACTAGCAAAAGCCCGGAAATGCTACTGGAGCTGGACTAACACGAAGGGAACTGCAGGGACCGTTGTGCCTTTCTGCTGCTCATGCCAAGTTTTGGACTCTCACAGCAAGGAGGCTAATCTCTGTATCACACCCCTTCAGCTGAATTTCACATCGCTTCAGCTGTTTAAAAGCCAGGGACGAGTCTCTGCTCGTTCTTTCATGTCCCTCAATCACCTATGGAAAGAAGCACCTTCCAAAGTCTACAACGAGGTTGGATGAATTGTCTTTCAGAAGATCCTTTCTCTCTGCTTTGGCTGCACAGTGACCTTATGTGACCGGGGCAGAGCAGGCACCTATTCATCAGAATTCTAAAATTAGCTAGGAATGAGTCATATCTCTGAGAAGAAGAAACAGGAAATTTTGCCATAAATTCTCCTGGCTCTAACAGAGGGAAATGAAGGATGACAAAAGCTTGTACGCTTCTGATTTCAAGCCTGCAAGTGGGTACGTGCCTC